GTTGTAATGTGACAAAATATGGAAAAGTTCAAGGGGTATGAATACTTTTGCAAACCACTGTAAATATTAACAGGCTACATTTTGTTACTCATTTCCTGCAGTGAGTGTTTTAACATCAAAGTGGAAATTACTGTTGACTTTAAAAATATTTCTACTATTTCCCCATTACTTTTCAGAAAATTAACCTAAACTTGGATCCAGAAACTGAGAAGAAACGAGACTGCTGCATCATCATCATCATCGTTTGCAGTTTGTGGTTGCAGAAGGAAGAGTTTCATCAACACCTTCAGAGGAAGATGTCCAGTACAATCCTGTTTACAAGCACCAACTGGGCGACATTCAAACTCTGCTCTGCTGTTTCCAAGCTGACTTTGATATATTCTCCACCTTGTCCTCACATGAGAAGCAGTTTAGCAGAATTTTTCCCCCTCTGGCTCTGCAGGTTATTAAATTGATAGCTACGCATTCCACTGCCAACATCAGAATCTCTGTATGGATCCGTAAAGAGCAGGGACTTCTGCAGCCTATTGCATCTGCTCAAAATATTTCAGTTGTCTCTGTCTTTATATGGTCCTGAAAGAATGTTTTATAGTAGTTTTATTGTCTTAAGTTCAGTAAAAAAGAATGGAAAACAATGCTTCGATATTTGGTGAAGTGAAGTGAAAATTTAACAAAAATAAAAACTGTAAGAAACTGTGGCTGTGGTGTAGTTGTAGGGCAGTTGACTTAGAATCAGAAAGTCACAGGTTTAATTCCCAGCAATGCCTGCATGGTGTGGTGCCTTTGAGCAAGACACCTAACCCCCAACTGCTCCCTAGGCACTTACAAAGCTACCGGCTCCACTTGGGTGTTTCTCGTGTGTGATGGGTCAAATGCAGAGCACAGATTTCATCATTGTATGGGAACATGCATTGATTACTTATAAAGCACATTTTCTGAGAAGATTTTACTTAAACTGCCCTTTTATTTGGCACAATGAGTTGACAATTAAGATTTTTCTTCAAAGAACTGAGTGCTGGGTCAGTAGGTAAACTACAAAAGCTGCATCCTTATGTAGTTTTTTGTGCATTTTTTTGCAAACTTTTATTTTATTTTTTTTTTTGCATGATTTGGCTTGAATCAGTTGCATGAAAATGGACCACTAAAACCTTTTGGTTACATTTGAAAGGAATTTGACTCGTGCTGCTTCCTTTGTGTGTCAGCAGTTTATAAAATAACTTGAAGACTACAGATAAAATATCTCAAAGAGCCTTTCTGGTCTTTGGCTATCCATCTCATTTGATACTCTTGATCAAAAAGACAGTAAGAGAACAGGAAATAAACATAAGCAATGATGCTTCTGTATAAAGCAACTTTGTAATATCAAGGCTTTGTGTTATAATGCTTTCAGGAGCAAATGATTTGCATCTTTGCTAATTAATTAATAAAAGCAAAGAAATTCATCAGAGTTTATTGGGTATACCATGTTTTTCATTATCAAGATTTTTGGGTGTGTTTCAGTATACATCTGAAACTGGCTTTAAAACATTTTTTATCCTGCAATGTGTTGAAGCTTTCAGGCTGCACTGGACCACTGTATTTCAGCAAGAAAAAAAAGTGTGTATGTGTGTGTGGGCCCATGCTTTTGCTCTTTTTTTAATGGGGGGTGGGATCAAGGTGTGAACTGAGTTTAGGTTAGTTTGAGGGTCAGGGAGGTACATATGTGGTTAATTTTAAGGTAAATGGTCAGGGCTATGATATAAAATAACCAAAAAAAAAATGAATGGAAGTCAATGGAAAGTCCCCACAAATATAGAGAAACAGTTTTGTGTGTGTGTGTGTGTGGGGGGGGGGTAAAGTTGAATAGGACAAAGAAATTATTTAGAAGGCATCTTTCAGCATCTTTCAGTTGGATTTATGCAAACCTCAGAATGATTCCTGATATACCTAACCTGGCTGCCAGATGTTTAGTTTTTGTATTTCCAAGCCAAAATAATTTAGGTGGATCTCGAAATTTCTATATATATATA